TTTACCTTCCTTTTGTTAAGTTGTATGAGTTCCCTGTAAATTTTGGAGATTAAACCCTTATTGGAGATAACATTGGCAAATATGTTCTCCCATGCAGTGGGCTTTCTTGTTAAGCTTTTTATTTTGATGTAGTCTCATTTGTTTATTTTCTCCTTAGTTTCCCTTGTCCTAGGACCTGTATTGGTAAAGATATAGCTATGACATATGTCTGCTATTTTGCTGCCTATGGATTCTTCTAAGATTTTTATAGTTTCCCATCTTATGTTTAAGTCCTTTATCTATTTTGAGTTTTATTTTTGTGTATGGTGTAAGTTGGTGGTCTAGTTTCATTTTTTTTGCATGTATTGGTCCAATTTTCCCAACACCATTTATTGAAGAGACTGTCTTGACTCCATTGTATGTTTTTGCCTCCTTTGTCAAATGTTAACTGAGCATAATAGCGTGGGTAGATTTCTGGGTTCTCTGTTCGGTTCCATTGATCTATATGTCTGTTCATGTGCCAGTACCAGGCAGTTTTGAGAACAGTGACTTTGTAATATAGCTTGATATCTGGTATTGTGATCCCTCCAACTTTGTTCTTCTTCCTCAGGATTGCTGCGGCTATTTGGGGTCTCTCTTTATTCCATATGAATTTTTGGATAGTTTGTTCTAGGTCTTTGAAATATGCTATTGGTATCTTAATGGGGATTGCATTGAATCTATAGATTGCTTTGGGTAGTATGGACATTTTATTGATGTTGAGTCTACCAATCCATGAACACAGAATATTCTTCCATTTGTTTATGTCTTCCTCTATCTCTTTTTTCAACTCCATTGATTTTTAGGGAGAGTAGAAAAGAGAAGGAAAGAACAGAGAGAAACATTGATGTGACAGAAACACATTCATTGGTTGCCTCCTGCACACACCCCTACCAGGGCCTGGGCCAGAGAGGAGCCTGCACCCAAGGTACGTGCCCTTGATCGGAATCGAACTCAGGACCCTTTGGTCCATAGGCCAACACTCTAGCCACTGAGGCAAACCAGCTAGGGTAGGACAAGTTGTTTTTAAAAGATAGCCAATTCTCTTCTGATTTATCATTGGGAGAAGATCATTCTTTTGTTTGACAAGGAAAAGAAAAATAAAAGAAACAAATCACTTCATTTTTTAAATCAAAAAACATCAATGCAGTTTATTTCAATGCTTCTAATTTATGAGAATAACTTCTTAATGCTACATTCATCAATACTTAATTTGGAAAGCATAAGCAAGAAGACCCAACATTTTACTGGGACTACACAATTTGGCACAGTACTAGGCACCATACTAGAACAACAACAAAAAACACAAAATTGAAGTATAAATGATGACAGACATTCTTAAACTCCAGGGGATCAATGAACCTCCCAAAACTATATACAAAAAGTTGTGTAATGCATGCACTTTTCTGGGGAGAGGTCCCACAACTCCAATCAACTTCTAAAGGGGCCAAACAGTACAGAGTAGAATTCTAATCCCCTTCCCTATATTTTCAGTAAAGAAAGCTGTGGATGGATCTCAGGAAGTTCACTCCTGCAATTGTCATGGAAAAAGGGTAGAAAGGAAAACAAATAAAAGTAACTTGCAAGGACTGGGCAGGGGAAAACTCCAAAGTACTGTTTACCTTATAAGTTGAATAACATGTTCTGGTTTAGAGAAGAGAAACAGGGGCCTAAGTGGTAATATAAGCTGGAAGCAAGGAGACTCTTATCAGATTTTTCAAATCCTTAAAAACTAAAAACTTAAGTATAAATAAAGCAATAGCAAGAACTTAAAATGCAATTTAATTCAAGTCCAATTTTCAGTTTCTGCATATTAACAACTTATTTTTATTTTTTAATATCACAGACTTCAATCAGAATATTTTTAAAAAATATTCTGCATCCATTTAACAAATCTGATAAAGGACGAGTATCCAGTTTACTTGCATTATACTCTGAAATTTTAACTGAACAGCCAATTAACATATATTTATGATCATTAAGTACAGGTAACAATGAAAAAGGCAATGCATTAATCTGATGACATCCTATCACTATGCAATGTTTATTAACACTACTAGTAATTATCCTGGAGCATAGGCAAAACGTAGACGGAGGACTTTCCCTCAAAAGCAAGCTTAAGGGATTAAATATCATCACCATCATCACTTCTGAGGATAAAACTGCTGCATGTAGATAGGGCCCTTTCTTCCGGAACATTCCATTCCCCCCATACGGCCCACAGTCCCTTTCTCATCAGAATCATCAAACTTCTCACAGGAATCCTCATTTTCTAACATGTTTTCATCTATACCTTCTTCATCGTCCTTTGCATCTACTTCATCTTAGTTTCGTCTAAATATTCAAACATCTTTTCATCTGCGTTATCTTCTTCCTCCTTTTATCAGCATCTTCAAGCCTATTTTCATCTGCATCATCTTCACCCTCTTTTTCATCAGACTCATCATCAAAAACTTTTTTATATGCATCTTCTTCTTCCTTTTCATCTGATTCTTCCTTGTCAAACGCTCTCAGAGCCTTCCTCATCAATAACTTTTTCAGAACTATCATCATCAAATTGTGATATTTCAGAGTCATTTTCTTCTAACTCTTTTTCAAGGCTTTCTTTAAACTCATCACAGCCATTCTCACTTTAATGGGCCTTTTAGTTATGCAACGGAAGCCTCCATCCTCCTCCCCCCATACCCTCTTCCGAAGTAAGGGTGAGAGACTAGGCTCCTTGACATAACAATGGAAATGGAAGCTGCTTTCCAAAGGCCAATGTCTCCACTGGGAGGTAAGCTAAGACCCTAGTTGAGGGGTTCCCTTTCTTCTCCAGGAGCCTTCAAGGAGTAAAGGGCTTGGACCTCAGATGAGTGTTGGGCAGAGATCAAAGTTCGGCTGACCTCCTATTTGGCCACTCTCAAGATGCTCAGGAGAGAATTACTTGCAAGTAAGGCAGAGCTATTTGGAGGGCAACTACTGTGTGCCAGGCTCTTGAGATATAGTGGTGAAGTCAATAGTAATTGAAAGATTTATTTTTTTTTCCCCTGGCCAGGGAGCTCAGCTAAATGTTGTCCCATTCACCGAAATATCGCCGGTTCAATTTCTGATCAGGGCACATGCCTAGGTTGCCAGTTCAATCCCCAGTCCTATGTTCATAGCAGCACAATTTATAGTAGCTAAGATTTAGAACCCTAGCAGGTCTGGCTCAGTGGAAACAGCCCAAGTGCCCATCAGTAGTTGAGTGGATAAAAAAAGATATGGTACATTTACACCATGTAATACTTTGCAGCAATAAAAAAAAAGAAGTATCTCTTACCCTTTGAGACAGCATAGAGGGACCTGGAGAGCATTGTGCTAGGTGAAATAAGCCAGTCAAAGAAAGACAAGTATCACATGATCTCACTCACATGTGGAATTTAATGAACAAAATAAACTGATGAATAAAATAGATCCAGAGACATAGAAGCATGGAACAGACTGTGGAATCTCAGAGGGAAGGTGTGGGGGGGGGGGGGGGAGTTGTGAGTGGGTGGGAAGAGATCAACCAAAGAACTTATATGCATATATGCATAGCCCATAGACACAGACAATAGTGTGGTGAAGGCCTGGGGGCGGGTACTAGAAGGGGTCAATGGGGAAAAAGGGGGACATATGTAATACTTTTAATAATAGAGGACCTGTAATAAATATTAATTTCTATTATAAAAAACTAAAAATAAATGGAAAAAATATTCTCAGGTGAGGATTAACAACAACAAAAAATCAACCAATGAATGCATAAATAAGTGGAGCAACAAATGGATGTCTCTCTCTCAAATCAATTTTTAAAAAAGATTTTTTAAAAATATTAAGAAACCCTGGTTGGTTTGGCTCAGTAGATAGAGCGTTGGGCCTACGGACTGAAGAGTCCCGGGTTTGATTCCAGTCAAAGAGCACACACATGCAAGGGTTGCTGGCTCGATCCCCAGTAGGGGGCATGCAGGAGGCAACCTATAAATGATCCTCTCTCATCACTGATGTTTCTATCTCTCTCTCTCCCTCTCCCTTCCTCTCACACACACATATATATTAAGAAAAATATAGCAGGTCCTAAATAATCATAGCTAGCATTACAAAGCAAGTGCTCTATGTCAAGCAGTGTTCTAAGATTTACACATACCAGCATGTCTACTTTTTGCAACCACTTCTTGGGCATGGTACGCTATCATTATACCTGTTTTGCTGCGGAGAAAATGAAGATACAGATGGAGTAACTTGCCAGAGCCACGCGTGATGAGATTGAGCCCTGCAGCCTGTACTCCGAATCACTTCCCCACGACCACCACCCCCCGCCCACACCCCGCCCCACACTCAGTTTCTCTCTCCGTGCTCAAAGAAGAGGAGACCTGAAGAGGAACCTGGTGAGTCCAAAGGGCTTCTTCCGAGGAAGGGAGCTGAGACCTAAGAATGAGATGGAACTAACCAGACCTAGAGAGAAAACATCTTTCCTGGAAGCGGGAACCACAAGTGCAAAAGGAGGGTGGGCACAAGAAAGAAAGGGAGATGCGCCCAGGGGCAGGTCCTGCCTAGCATCTTTAAAGGAAGCTATTGGAAACTTTGAAAGGGGTGGTTGTGATTGGCACAGTCAACCACAAAATACATTCGGAGCCAGAGTGTATTTTACTATCACCCGGAAGGTTGTGCAGAGACTGGATGGGGATGGGGCAGAGGCAGTGTGCTAGCCACCACATGGCGACTACGCAGAAGACAGAGGAGCCAGGCTGGGCCAAGGTCTGCAGAGGCGAGCAGGTGAGAACTGCAGGGTCTTGTTCCGGAGGGGTGTCGAGCAGGAGATGGAGAGCAAGGACTAGACTAGAACTTCGAAGTCTGGCCTGAATGGGGCAAAAGAGGCGGAGTCTGAGGGGGTGTGCTGCAGGCTGGGCGGGGCCTTTGGGATTAGGCTGATCCGTCGGTCGCTCAGCGCTATGGGTTCAGGACTGGTCTCCAGGTGGGTGGGATTCTGCGCCACTCGCAGCCACGCGGCTGTCAGGACAGCAGGTCCAGGAGGGGCCGGGCCCGAGGTGGGCGGGGCGCTGGGCCGCCCGGCTCCACGCGGCTTTGGCGAGCGCATTCCCAGCTCTCCGGCCCCAGGCGGAGGAGCGCCCTGGCTGAGTCCTCGGTCCCCGCTGGGCTAGGGGATCGGCCTGGCAGGAGCTAGGACCAGGGACACAGAAGACCCAGGTGAGCCAGGACCCTGTGCCGGGAGCTGTCCCGCGGAGGCTCCAGGTGTCCCGGGACCCATGCGGACCCTGGCTGCGCTCCCAGCCGCCAGGGGGCGAGCGGCGATGGGGCTCCGGGAGCTGCCCCATCCCTGCAATGGGGACCCGGGCGTCCGCTCGGCAGGGTGGGTGGAGGGGGGCGGTAAATGAGTAACCCGCAGTGCACACAGGGCCTTTTGTCCCGCTCTGTCCAAAGAGCACCCTGGCCGCGGAGCTGGTTACTCATTGCCCACCCGGGCGGGGGCGGACAGGCTGTCTCTGCTCCTCCTCCTGGGGACCCGCCGACTTGCACCTCCCCCAGCGTGGCGGAGTAGGGGTGAAGGTGGAAGAGCTCGCTGATCCTCAGCTGCTGGAGTGTCTGTGCGCCCCGAGTGGAGATGAGAAAGCTGAGGCTCGAAGAGGTGCAGTCATATGCCCAGAGTCCCCCAGCGCTTGAGTGCGGGAGGTTGGAAGCGAACCCTGGACTACCTGGTGCCAGAGCCAGGCACGGCGGTCCCCTGTCCGCTGGTGGCCTTGCTAAGGACCCTGGGGTGATGAGGTCAGAGTAGACTGAAGGTGAAAATATAACGTCCCCAACCGGAGCTGTGAACCCAGAGAGCTGAGCTCCCTACAGAAGTGAGGGTGGGGGATTTCACCAGGAGGGGCACGGAAGCCGGGTGGGCGCAGAGAGAGTGGCATCTGAGCCAGGTGGAGAAGAGAAATGGGACACAGAGGTCAAGGATCCCGCTGGGCACAGGCAGCCATTAAGGACTTGTAAGCTGGTGGGGAGATGTTTGCAAAGGCCCACGCTACAGATGACTATGGCCTGCCCTGAGTCCAGGAAGCGGAGGTGGGATAGACTGGAGAGGGACTGAGGAGGCAGAATGGACTGGCAATGGGGCAGGGGTGAGGTGAGGAGAACAGAGCTGATGCTCCAGCTGCAGGGGCAACCCAGGGAAGAGGGAAATAATGGCTTTGCCCAGGACAAGCAAAGTGCCCCCTGCCTCAAAGCCAGAGCTGGACAGGGGGCTGTGGCTGAAGAGAGAGGGTGTGGTGGGCTTCCTGGGCAAGGTAGACCCAGAGACACCAGTACCCCTGACTGTCACCCAGTCCCAGGTAATAGCCAGTGGGTCTCTGGGACTACACTGGTCACCCTCTTCCCCTGCCCTAGCTGACGCTCAGTTTTGAATGCTCCTTTGAGGGTAAGGAGACATCCTTGGCGGCATTTGGAAGAGGATAATCAGATGGGGTGGGTGTGTGCATCACACCTGACAGGACCTGGGGGTGACTGTTGGAGGGCAGACCCTGGGCGACATTACAGGGAGGGGATGGGGAAGGAGACCATTCCAACATTCTGTGTACCCAGCCCCTACACATATTCTCTCTCTCTCTTTTTTTTTTTATAATGTATAGGTATTCTTTTTTTTAAAATATATTTTATTGATTCTTTTTTACAAAGAGGAAGGGAGAGAGATAGAGAGTTAGAAGCATCAATGAGAGAGAAACATCGACCAGCTGCCTCCTGCACATCTACTGGGGATCTGCCCACAACCTAGGTACATGCCCTTGACCGGAATCGAACCTGGGACCCTTCAGTCCGCAGGCCGACGCTCTATCCACTGAGCCAAACTGGTTTTGGCACATATTCTCTCTTTTTAAGAAAAATATATTTTATTGATTTTTTTAATAGAGAGGAAGGGAGAGGGATAGAGAGTTAGAAACATCAATCAGCTGCCTCCTGCACACCCCCTACTGGGGATGTGCCAGCAACCAAGGTACATGCCCTTGACCAGAATCGAACCTGGGACCCTTCAGTCCGCAGGCCAACGCTCTATCCACCGAGACAAACCGGTTAGGGTTATGTACATTCTCTTTTATTCTCAAAGCAGTCCTGTGGGGCCAGCGACCCAGACATGGCCAGGGACAAGCAAGTTGGTAAGAGCTAGGATTTGAGCTTGGCTCTGTCAGACACCAGAGTCTACATTCTTTACAAGAGCCTGCATTGTCTCAGATGGAATTGTGGGGACACAAAAAGCAGAAATATTCCCAGGGTGCAGTTCTGGTTCAGAAGAAGGAAGAACTGCTGGCCATGGAGTGTGCTGCCTTGTTAGTAGTAAGCGCCCTGCTACTGGAGGTATCCAAAGCTGGTCATGGAAATGTCAGCAATGCTAATAAGGAGTGGGGGTCAGATCAGATAGCATCCAGATGCTGAAGTTTGGCCTTGTATTATATTTCAGATTTTGTTTTTTTTGCTCTTCAGAAATAAATGCATTTATTCAGCAAAAAATAAATCATGTGTGCTAAGAGTGAGCAGAAGATATGTTTCCATTCTCTGCTTGCCTCCAAGGAAAGAATCCCAAAACTGCCCTTGCTGTGAACTCGTGCCAAGGTCTCAGCAGGACCAGTGCAGAGCAGGAAGCCCCGCCCACCCCCAACCCCCCTTGCACAACCTACTGTGCGGCAGCCTTGGGCTCTGCAACAGCGGACCAGCTTCCAGTCTGCCCTGCTGCTGCCTGGCGGTGGGAGGGCTTGGAAGTGGCCAGCCATTTCCTGTCTCAGTTTCCTCATCTGCAAAATAAGGGAATAGCACCAGCCAAGGTGCACATGAAGCAGGAACTCTTCTCCCTCCCTGTTTCAGGAAGGCCATCAGTGGAAAGCCCAGCCTGGGCCCCATGAGCAACAGGAAGAAGATGCAGTTGCTGCTGGTCCTGTTGGGGGTCCTCCTGGGAGCACCCTGGGCTCCAGCTTTGTCCTTTGAGACCTCTGAGGAAATGGAGCTGGGTATGACCTCTAAGGTGGGAGAGGGTGGCAGGGGTGGGAAGAGTTGGCACCAAGTGGGAGCTGAGCAAAGCTAGAGAGAATCCTGGCCCAGGCCCTGGGGAGGTGGCAGCAGGTGGCAACCATTGAGACTCAGTGTCTGGCTCCCAGAAAGCATCCACCTATCTCTGTGTCCACGAAAGAGGACTGGCCTTGCAGGGCCCAGGGCCCTGAGCTGGGCTGCAGAGCTGGTGGTGAGCCCCTTGGATGTGTGTGTGTGTGTGTGTTCTGTGCAGTGTGTGTGTGGCTTGGGAGGCCCAGGCCTCACGTGTGGTGTATGCACTGGGAGGGTATTATGCCTTGGAGTGGTGTGATGTGTGTCCTGTAGCATGCGCCTTGTGTGTGTGCGTGCGTGTGCGTGTGCGTGTGTGTGTTGGACAGTGTCATGTTCAGCCCAGCAGGTGTGCTACTCACCGTGTGTGTGTGATGTGCACCAGAGGCATGGCCTTACCTCTGTATGTAGCATCTAGAGCATGTGGCTGTGCGTATGTTGAGGGGTAGTAGGTGTCCAGCATGTGTCTGAGGTGCTCGTGCCCTGCATGTGCAGCATGTTCTCTCTATGTGGGGGCTGCCTCAACTGGGGCTGTGGGGCTCATTGACCTCTGCCCTTGACCCACAGAGCCCTGCCTGGCCCCCAGCCCGGAGCAGCCAGAACAGGAGCTGACGGTGGTCCTTGGGCAGCCTGTGCAGTTATGCTGTGGGAAGGCTGAGCGTGGTGGCCACTGGTACAAAGAGGGCAGTCGCCTGGCACCTGCTGGCCGGGTACGAGGCTGGAGGGGCCGCTTGGAGATCGCCAGCTTCCTACCCGAGGATGTTGGGCACTACCTCTGCCTGGCACGAGGCTCCCTGTTCGTCCTGCACAATGTCACGTTGGTTATGGATGGTAAGGGGGCCTGGCAGGGGCTGAGGGGTGCCTAGGGAGAGACTCTCCTGTCCTGGCCTCATACATCTCCCTCTATCCCTGACATAGACTCCTTGACCTCCAACAATGGTGATGAGGAACACAATGGCCCTTCAAATAGGCATGTTTACCCAGAGCATGGTCAGTATAAGTCCTCAAGGACTCATTTCCCTACCTCCCAGCTGCTCCCTGAGAAGAGACCTGTGCGGAAGCAGGTAGTCACCCTGGGGGCACTAAGTTCTTCCTTCCCCTCCAGCACCCTACTGGACACACCCCCAGCGCATGGAGAAGAAACTGCATGCAGTGCCTGCTGGGAACACCGTCAAGTTCCGCTGTCCAGCGGCAGGAAACCCCACGCCCACGATCCGCTGGCTCAAAGATGGGCAGGACTTTCACGGGGAGCATCGCATTGGAGGCGTTCGGGTGAGTCTCTGGGTTCCAAGGCCACCTGCTCCCCCACCGGCCCCTTCATACCTATAAACCAACCCCCAGTTCCTTCTTGAATAAAGAAGGCCACTGTGTGGCCCCAGAAGAAGCACTAGGCTGTGGACTTGGACAGCTCTGGTTCAAGTTCCCACTCCGCCACTCTGGCAAGTGACTTAGCCTCTCGAGCGACTCCATTTCTAAAGGAGGAAGGATCCCTGACCAGCATCCGTAAGTTTGGGCAGCTCATTCTCATGGTCAGACCCTGCAAGGTCAGCTCCAGGCTGTAATGAGGAAACTGAGGCTCAGAGGACAAAGACTGGCAAAGGTGGCACAGCTAGGAAGAGGCCAACCTAAAACTCAGGGCTCAGACATTTCTTGGAGTCTTCTCCTTTGTCCCAAAGTCCCTGCCCTTGCCCTCTCCCTCTCTCCCACCCTACTCCCCTCAGGGGCATGGGTTAGTGGCCCCTCGTGGACCCTTCCCCTCCCCACAGCTGCGCCATCAGCACTGGAGCCTGGTGATGGAAAGCGTGGTGCCCTCAGATCGTGGCACATACACCTGCCTTGTGGAGAATCCGGTGGGCAGCATCCGCTACAGTTATCTGCTGGACGTGCTGGGTGAGCGGAGGGGCAAGCGAGGCAGTGTGGGGGTGGACCAGAATATGCCCTCAGTTAGAGCCCAGTCTGGCAGGCAACATGGACTGAGTCTTAGATGAGTCACTCAAACTTGTTTCAAGTGTGCTGGTGGGCGTGAGGGGCACACAGAGGGTAACGTAGGCCTGGAGGAGCGGAGATTAGCCAAGAAGAAAAGTAGGGAAGACGTTGAGGCAGAGGGCACGGGTTCAGTAAAGGCCTTCAGTGTAAAGACTATAATGCATTTGTGGGGAGATGTATGCCTGGGGTGTGGCATTTCCATAGGGAGCCAGGCCATGAAGGGTTCTGAATGCGAGGCTGAGAAATTGTCCTGGACCCCAAAGGCAATGGGGAGCCATGGAAGGTTTAAGCGGGGTAAGCAGAAGACAGACAAGGTCTGAGCTGCATATCAGGAAGGTCTCTCCCTTGAGCTGGGGAAGTTGGAGGCAGGTGACCAGGGTGCTTCTGTGGGTACCGCTGGTCAGGGTTGACGGCCCGGCCCGGCCCCCAGAGCGGTCCCCGCACCGGCCCATCCTGCAGGCAGGGCTCCCGGCCAATACCACAGCGGTAGTGGGCAGTGACGTGGAGCTGCTATGCAAGGTGTACAGTGACGCCCAGCCTCACATCCAGTGGCTGAAGCACATTGTCATCAACGGCAGCAACTTCGGTGCCGACGGCTTCCCTTATGTGCAAGTCTTGAAGGTCCAGCCCCTGCGGTGCCTGAGCCCTCCCTACCCTTCTCCCATGGTGGGGAGGGTGATTACCAGCTCCCTTCCTGACCCCGGGCCCTGCTGTGACCCCTGAATGTGTCTCCCATCCCCAGACAACAGACATCAATAGCTCAGAGGTAGAGGTCCTATACCTTCGTAACGTGTCGGCCGAGGACGCAGGCGAGTACACCTGTCTGGCAGGCAACTCCATTGGCCTCTCCTACCAGTCGGCCTGGCTCACTGTGCTGCCAGGTGAGCACCTGAGGTGGCCAGGAGAGACTTCAGGGTCCGACTCTGATCCAGCAGTGGGCTGTGACCTGCGGGTGGACACTACCCCTTGGCTTGTGGGATCTAAGCTCGGGACATGGTGTGTGGTTTTGTGTTGGATTCTGCATGTAGCAGACCCTCTGCATGTCGACATGTGACTGTCGGTGGGACCCAGGACTATGTGGGACTGAGTATAATTACAGTTTTCTTGGTATGTGCATCCGTGTGTGGCGGGAGCTGTGAGGGCCTGAGTTAGAGGGTATAGGGCCAGCCATCTGACCACTGACTGGTCAGTTATGTGTCTGTGGACAGAGGAGGACCTCACATGGACAGCAACAGCGCCCGATGCTAGGTACACAGACATCATCCTGTACGCGGCGGGCTCTCTGGTGTTAGTGGTGCTCCTGCTGCTGGCCGGCCTGTATCGCCGACAGGTGCTGCACGGTCGGCACTCCCGGCAGCCCGCCATGGTGCAGAAGCTGTCCCGCTTCCCTCTGGCCCGACAGGTACTGCGCATCCCCGCCCCCGTGTCCCATAGTGAGACTCTCGGCCTGCCAGCCCACCACGGCTCAGTGCCAGCCAGCCAACCAAGTCTCCCACTTTGCAGTTCTCCCTGGAGTCAGGCTCCTCAGCCAAGTCAAGCTCGTCCCTGGTGCGGGGCGTCCGTCTTTCCTCCAGCGGCCCCCCCTTGCTTGCTGGCCTCGTGAGTCTAGACCTCCCTCTGGACCCGCAGTGGGAGTTCCCCCGGGACAGGTATGCTGTGCAGCGTGAGGGTGTGGATGCAGCCTCCAGGCAGGAAGGACGCCCGGACGGTTGAGACCTCAGCTTTCTTGATTTCTAGGCTGGTGCTTGGGAAGCCCCTGGGCGAGGGCTGCTTTGGGCAGGTGGTGCGTGCAGAGGCCTTAGGCATGGACCCGGCCCAGCCTGACCAAGCCAGCACCGTGGCTGTCAAGATGCTCAAGGGTGAGTGTGGCGGCCTGGGGGAGGTACTGTGGCCTTGGGACTAACGGAAGGAGCTCATTGTGCTATCAGGTGAGCACTGGGGCCAGGAGAGGCTGTCGGATCCCACCGTTGGGCCTGAGGCCCAACTCTGCTACTGACTCTGACAAGTCACTTCTGAGCCTCAGTTTCCTCACATGTCCCTACCTCAGGACCCTAGGTTCATAAAAATTCCTGATGCATAAAATCTTACCCTTTGGGATGATGGTGACTATAAGGACTTGGGGTAACTGGGGTTTACTATCCCCTGTCTGCCCTGACCCTATGTAAGCTTTGGCCTCAAGTAACCTTGTCAGCTGTGTAGGACACCACCTCATTCCCCTCAAGCCACACCCTCGGCCTCCCCCAGGGCCCTTCCCAGGTCTGTCCTGTTGTTTCTACCACTTGAGAACAGCCTTTCTGCTCAAATTCAGTCCCAGCCTCTAAGCAGGAGCCCCAAGGTGCCTAGGCCACTCCTGGAATCTACCACCGGGGCCTCTCACTGCTGTCTCCCAGGCCCCTCTACCAGAGTGGCCCAAACCACTGTTCTGTTCTCCGCCCCCTTACCCCCAGCTCCTCTCTGCACAGCTGGGGCCACCTGGCACTTTCCCGGAGGCAGAGATTGAGAAATGTGCATTGCGAGGTCTGGTGGGGAGGGTATGTCATTGGCCCAGGGCCACGGGTCAGCCCTGAGGGCCCGCCCCTGCTCCACAGCCTTCTTCCAGGCCTCCCCTAGCTGTGCCCCACTGGCGGCTCCCTGAATTCCCAGGCCAGATGGACGCCAGGCCCTGGTCAGACAGACCTCAGGGCGCCAGCCTGCTTTCCGCCCCCAGGAGCTCTCACCCCATTCAGGGACTAATGCCAAGCCCTGCAGACAAGCTTCCTTCCTGTTCAGAGCTCTTCCCCCTCTCCTGTTTCCTGGCCCCTCACCGGCAGGCCTACTTCTTTTAGATCCTTGATTCTTCTTGCATCCTCACAACCGCTCTGAGAGGGAGGGCATGATACGGTATCCCATCTCACACAAGAGGATCCCGGGGTTCAGAGAGGTTAGGTGACTTTATCAAGGCTACGCAGCCTAGTGGGGACTCAGTCCCAGACCTTCTTGACTCCTGGTCCAGCGCTTCGTGTCCTCTCCCCCACCCTACAGCCTGCCCTGTGTAGTCACCCTGGCTGTCGCCCTTGCAGACAACGCCTCTGACAAGGACTTGGCAGATCTGGTCTCTGAGATGGAAGTGATGAAGCTGATCGGTCAACACAAAAATATTATTAACCTGCTGGGTGTCTGCACCCAAGAAGGTGGGGTGAGGTGGACCCAGGCGGGGGCGGTTGTGGCGGGAGCACAGCCTCGGCAGCCTCCCGGTCTCCCTCGCCTTTGCAGGCCCCCTGTACGTGATTGTGGAGTGTGCTGCCAAGGGAAACCTGCGGGAGTTCCTGCGGGCCCGGCGCCCCCCGGGCCCCGACCTCAGCCCCGATGGGCCTCGGAGCAGTGAGGGGCCGCTCTCCTTCCCTGCCCTGGTCTCCTGCGCCTACCAGGTGGCCCGAGGCATGCAGTACCTGGAGTCTCGAAAGGTGAGGGCAATAGCGGCACTCCGGGCCACCGCCGACTGCTCCATCTCCATATCTTTATGACCCTGGCATTCAATGTCTCCAACTTCTCCCTCTCTCCCCTTTCTCGTTACCCTAAGTCCTGCTGTATGTAGATTTCAGTGCCTGTCCCATTCCGTCCTCACATCCTCCCTAACCGTAGACAGGGCAGGGAAAGAGGCCACATGAAAGAACGTGAGGGCCCTGAAGTTGGACTGCTCGGGTCTGCCCTCTGCATCCTGACTTCCTCATCTGTAAAATGGGTGATGATCCTACCCACCAAGGTTACTGTGAGATGCTATGTGTCCTAATAAGCCTAAGTCCCCTGCCCTGTCCCCAGTGCATCCACCGAGACCTGGCTGCCCGTAACGTGCTGGTGACAGAGGACAATGTGATGAAGATCGCTGACTTTGGACTGGCCAGAGGCGTCCACCACATTGACTACTACAAGAAAACCAGCAACGTGAGGGGGGCAGGGCAGAGCTGGGGGGAGGGGGCAGGACCTGTGGGACTGGCACCAATGCCTCCCTCCTCCTCTCCCTCCCAGGGCCGCCTGCCTGTCAAGTGGATGGCACCAGAGGCCTTGTTTGACCGAGTCTACACACACCAGAGTGATGTGTGAGTCCTGGATGCTGGGGTCCTTAGTGTCTGCCAGGATCCTTGTCCTACCCCACAGAAAAGGCAAAGCGTTTGCCCAAGGTCGCATAGCCCTGGGACCTGAGTTGAAACAAACTCCAAAAAAAGCTCCTATCCCCACCCCCACCCCCTTGGTGAATTATGCCTGCGGGGGCCCCCCATCCCAGCCCCAGGAGCAGGGAGCGAAGCTGTGCCCTGCTGAGCCCTGGTTCTGCCTCCAGGTGGTCATTCGGGATCCTGCTGTGGGAGATCTTCACCCTTGGGGGCTCCCCATACCCTGGCATCCCCGTGGAGGAACTGTTCTCACTGCTGCGGGAGGGGCATCGGATGGACCGGCCCCCGAACTGCCCTCCAGAGCTGTGAGGCCATGCCCTACTCTCCCCCTTTCCAGTCCTCACCCTCTGCTCTGACTTGGCCTCAGGGTCTGGCCCCGGGGAGGGATCAGCACCAACTCCCTGTGACTGCCACCTCCTCAGCCCAGGCCCAGTGGGGAGGTCCTGGCTTCTGTGCCCTTTCACCCACCCCTCAGTAGACCCCAACCTCCCCTGCCCACCCACGAGGGCCATGAGGTCCTCCCTTCACTCAGGCCTGTGGGTACTTCTGACCCTGCCCACCTCTCAGGTATGGGCTGATGCGTGAGTGCTGGCATGCGGCGCCCTCTCAGAGGCCCACTTTCAAGCAGCTGGTGGAGGCACTGGACAAGGTCCTGCTGGCCATCTCTGAGGAGGTACTCCTCCTCTCCTGTCCCGTGACCACCCTCTGCCCACTCCCCTTTGGGCTATACCTGAGCTGACCATCAGGGCTGACCAGCACTGTTCCCCGCAGTACCTGGACCTCCGCCTGACCTTTGGACCCTACTCCCCAGCCGGTGGGGACGCCAGCAGCACCTGCTCCTCCAGTGACTCTGTCTTCAGCCATGACCCCCTGCCCCTGGGGCCCAGTTCCTTCCCCTGTCCTGGGGTGCAGACTTGAGCAGGAGCAGGAGGTTGTACAGGCAGGACATCCAGCAGCCTTGGGCCTCCTGGCTCTGTTGCAGCCTGGTGGTGCTTGATCTTGGCAGCCCCAGTCCAACTTTAGGGTCCTGTCCAAGGTCTCTGGTTTTGCTTTGGGGAGGTCTGTCCTTGGTCCTGGGGTCCCTAGTTGAGGCTTCTGGCTCTGGTTTTGGGTTCCCAACTCAGAATTCAACCCTAGTCTCAAGGTCCAGTCCTTGCCCTGGGAGTCATGGCCCGAGCATTCTAATAGCCTGAATATAGGGCTCTGCTTGGCATCTGGGCCTTGACACTTGATCCTGATTTCAGGAGTTTGGCTGAACCTGGCTACAGAGCCTAGAACCTCCCTACTTCCCTACACCAAGAGAGATCTTGGGCCTCTGAACCCCCTTTCCTCAGGTTGCCCCCCACTCCCCCTTTGCTGCTTGTCCCAGCATCTTGGTGGAAGGAGCTTGGCCCCTGTGCTCCTAGCTGACGCTGGAAGCCTGCCGAAAACACAGAAGCAAGTGGCCTTTTATAAATTATTATTTTGAAATAAATCTCATTGTGCCTGATGTGTGCCTTGCGTCCCAGATGGAGGGGGGAAAAGGTGGAGGGATCCCCAAGCTGGGGCTCTGCCTAGGTGACAGATTGACAGGCCTCTGTGCCAGGCCTTGGGTCCACCTCCACCTCCAGCTGCCTCGGGGTGGACCTCTGTCGTGGTCTGTTTCTCACCGGCACCATCTTGTGTATGTGATGGTGTGAACGGGCGCTGTGGGCAGAGGAGTCCACACAGCACCATCCACGGGGCAGGACTCCTGTACCCCGTGCACATGCGTGACCTGGGCTGTTGCCAAGGGAGCTGGCAGTGCCCCTCCCCCATCTGCTCAGCATTAACCAAGCTGACAGTTAACGCAGCATGAAAGCCCAAAACCCAACTTCGAGGCTGCCGCCTGCTCCCACGCTCCGCAGCTCAGGCTGGGAGCTTGGGCCGTGCGGCCCCGCCTGCCCTGGCCAGTCTCCCCAGCAGCAGCTGGTTGCCGTCCTCCCTGCTGGACTGCAGCTGTTCCTGCCTGCCCGATCCTCCCCTAGAGAGCCCTCAGGGCCCTGTTCTCAGATGCCCTTGGGGGGAGGGAGTAGAGAGGCTCAGCTTCCCAGGGCTCTGAGCCTGGAACCTTCCTCAGTTCATCCCAAGGGTTACTGCTGCTGCTCTCCAGCCGCTGAACCATGGGATGAGGGTGCGGACCCAGGGCCTGGCTTTCTCTCCTGCCCTGTCCTCCTGGCACAGGACTGTCCAGAATTTGGTGCTGGAAGACTGAGCAGCACCTCATGGCCATGGTTCTTTCCTATTCTGGGTCTCCTCATGCCCCATCGGGCCTCTCTGAGTCACTATGTCCCAAATTGAACTACTCATTTCCCCCCAAAACTGTATCTCCTCCAGGGGCCTCCCTCTCAGAGAAAGCACAGACCAGGAGCCGGGAGGCGCCCCCAACCCCCTTCCCGAAGGAGGTGGAAACACAGTGGGAGGCTCAAGGCCCGACGCTTCCAGTGCCGGAGGCCAGTGCTGTCACTTCGCCAATGGTCACTTCCTTCGCTCATATGAGTGGGGGCTCCTGCCCTGCATGCCTCTCTGGTTTAGGATGAGCAGAGGCTTGGTGAGCACAGGTGTCAGGAGGACACCAAGCAAGGTTCGTGGGTATTTCAGTGAGAACTAGTGCTTGGGTTTTGCAGCAGCCTGAGGTCCCCTTTGCAGCCCAAGGTCCCCTTCACTCACATTCCCCTGCAGGCAGCTCCAGTGGCAGTTTCCTAAAGCAACTCTTGGCTTATGCACCTCCTGCAATCAAGAACCCAAATTCCTGGAGCCCCCAAACTTTCTGATTGAGCCCCACCTCCAGACTGAAGTGTCCCCCTGGCTGTCACTGATCAGTGACTATGTCCTTCATCAACCAACCAGTCACAGGAGAGCCTGGAGGGAAAGTGTGGGTTGGGGTAGTGTGTAGAAACAAGTGGGTAAGAGATGAGAGTCCCCATTTTCCACTTCCTCACCAGGAACCCACTGCCCTCTCCAACTCAGCCACCCACCACTCTCCCTCACCACAGCCTCACCAGATAGACCATTCTTCCCATTTAATGGTAGAGAAACTGAGGGATGTCGCAGCCCAGGGTTACAGGATGGTGCTCCGGAGGAGCCGAGTTGAACCCTCCCACCCCGTCCCAGGTTCCCAGTGGGTCCTGCGCACATGGGAGACCTGAGCCAGGTCACTCAGAGTGACAGGGCAGCTGCTGCCTGGTAGGTTCCAGGGGCCAAGAGGAGCTCGGCTGCCCACCCTGTGCCCCCTCCCTGCCCACCTCCCTGGCAGGCACACACTTGCTAGGGCCCTTCCACATTCCCGATGTCGCATGTAAGAGTGAGACAGATGCTGCTAATTCCCGTGCAAGCTTGGCTGCCTCCTCTCCCTGCCCCCAAGCCTGCTCTGGGCAGCTCCGCAGCAGCTGGAGCCTGGGCCCCTTGGTCAGTCTGGGTTCGGAGTGGTCTAGCCTGTGACACTGGCCTCGGGAGCCTGTAGAAGAAGCATTAGTCACTCTGGACTTTGCCACTTGCAATGTATCAGTCAGGGTTTTGATGAGAGCATCAGATAGACAGCCACTGCTATCTGGGAGCCAGAGTCCAGGGACAGGAGGCTGCTGGTAGGGGAGGTCAGGTGGTCACAGCATGGAAGGGGGGCTGCTATGACCGAAATTACCCTCTGAGCCTGAAACACAGGAATGCTGCCACGCCTGGAGAGTGGTTTTAAGTGCTCTGTCAACAACTGGGATTAGGAGGGAATGGCCTCAGGGCCGGGCTGCCAGGACCTTATTCCCTCCTCAGGCAGCCCCAACAGGAAGGCATTCTTGTCCTGCTGCCCAGATAAGGACAACTGAGGCTCAGGAGGAGGAGGTGACTGGGCCGAGGTTGCACAGGAGAAAGTGGGAGAGTCGGTGCCTCTGACCAGGGGCCCCGTCCTACCGCAAAGCTCATTCCTGCAGCCCCGGTCACCTGGCCTTTCCAAGGACCAGGGAGCTGGGTTTGCAAAAGCAGGGACATCTGTTCATGGAGTGTCCACACTCAGGGTGAATGGACATTCAGGAGGCCCAAGCACAGATGTGCCAGGCCCAGTATTTTGGGCTCCAGCCCACAGCCTTTGGTTCCTGCCACCTCAGGGCCTTCACAGGGGTGGGCTGTTCCTTCTGGGGCACACTCCTCTCCCCTCACCTGGCCAAGCTCTCCCACTCCTCACCTTTTTAAAAAATATATGTTTTTATTTATATTTTTTAGAGAGAAGATAGAAATATCGATGATAGAGAAACATCGATTGGCTGCCCCCTGCAGGCCCCCCACTAGGGATCGAGCCCACAACCTGGGCATTGCCCTCACCAGGAATCGAATCAGCAACCTCTTGGTGCATGGGATGATGCTCAATCCACTGAGCCACGCTCTCCTCACCTTTTAAGTGTCACGCAAACCTCATTTCTCGGGGTGCCCTCCCTAGGCTCCCTCCCAGGTTGGACCCCCCCTGCAGGCTGAGACCCCTATTCAGAGGTGCTCTCACGGTCTCCTTCTTGCAAATACAGCACAGAAAGCCAGCACTGGAAGCCAGACACTCAGGACCCCAGCATCCAGTCCTGAAACCTCAGCATATTTCCAAGTCTCCTGGAGGCCCTGGACTGCTGGTCTCACCCTAGAATCTCTTATTGGGTGGGTTTGAGGTGGAGCATGAAAACTTTCAGGGAGAATAGCTGCTGGCCTGGGGGCCACACTTTGGGAACCAGGGTTTTTATAGAGGTGTCATATGTTCGAGGTTGAAACAACTCAACAAAAACTCCAAAGTCACAAAAGGTTTTTAATGAAAACCAACCCCCCAGTACAGACTCTCTTGGCTTCCCAAGGGAAGCTGCCCCATTTTCTGAGTCTTCCTGAATGCTCCCCTCCTCCGCTTTATAGCCCTAGATCCAGTTGAGTGGTTACTGTCCTTGTCCCCCAAATCCCCACCCAGGGCCGCACCTGGCAGAACTGAGGGGCAGTAAAGTGTTGAATGAAGATACGAAGGAGACCCATTCCCAGGTACAGACGCACCCAGGTGTGCACACTCAGCCACACTGCCTGCCTCTTCCCACACTCCAGACTCAAAATGGGATGGGAGACCCCTTCCCCCCAGCCCTCCACCTGCTGTAGGATTTGGCCTAATCCCGAAGGGAGGCAGCTGCAGCTCTCTCTGGGGGAGAAGGCTCCCCTCCGAAGGAAATCTCCTTTTATTCTCTTGCTGCCGAAATCTGACCTTCCTTGGCACCTGGGCCCCACAGCTGGAGCCTGTCCCCAAGAAGTGACTGAGAAGGAGGCGTGAAATCACCAACAGCTGAACTCACCCAGTCTTCCCCCCATATCCTCTCCAAATCGGTGGCTGCTCACATTCCACGGTGCCAGCCCCTTCCGGCCCCCCAGAGCCAGGTGCAAATGCTGATACTTTGGGCCCAGCCTGACCTGGCCTTACTGATCTCACTAGCTGACTCTTAGGGTATCACTAGGGGCTCCCCTCAGCTCCCCAGGCCACACTTGTACCCTTCAGGTCTCCGCTCAGTCATCCCCTCCTCCAAGAAGGCCAGTCTGACTTCAAGGCACAGTGTAGGCATGCCACCTCCATGTGTGACTGGAAGGACCCATTTATGTCTCCCCGTCCCACTCAGGGCTGCGGCCTCAGGCTTCATCCCTAAGAATGCAAGCCCAGTCAGTGCAGAGAGGGCCACACTAAGGCTTGTCAAATGACTATGTGATCTGGTAAGGGGGACGATGAGGCCCCTTCCACCACAGCTGAGGCCCCTAGGAAATCAGGTTCCAGAAGCAGAGAGTTGGCTGTCAGGGCTGAAACAGTGAGACCCATATTGGGCATCTACTCTAGAACCTTCAAAGAGGAGTAGCTCTTGCATATTGGGGGGCGGGGGGGTTGGAACAGAGATTGTTATTATCACTGGGGAACCCACTGCATATACTGAGGGGGTTTTCCAACACAGCCGAGCTTCTGTCCCCTTCAGCAACCCCTGAAGACCTAAATGATGGATGGCCTGGAATTCTGTATTCTCTCTCTTTTTTTTTTTTTTGGTCTGGAATTTTCTAGAGCAGCACTGTCTAATAGAACTTTCTCTGGTGATGAAAATGTTCTGTATCTGTGCTGTCTAAGACAGTAGTCACTGGCCACATGGAGTAGCTATAGCACTTGAACTGTGGCTCGTGCAACTGAGGAATTAATTATTATAATTAATTTACATATTAATTTAAAGGGCTGTGTATTGACAGAACAACTCTAGAGCTTTTACAAAGGGGCTGCTCAGAGTGCAGTGGCAGGGAATTCTCTCCAATTCACACCACCGAGGTGGAAATTCAAGGTACAAGCAGAGTGCATGGTGCACAGTGCACTCTCACCTGCGTCAAACTTGTGCCTGAGGGTATAGGGCTGCAATCACTTGGGCAGGTGGCCACAGAGGTTGCTTCTGCGGAGAACTAGGTGACAGGGGTCAGAGAGGAAGGGGACCTTT